AAAAACCCCGACTGGGAGGACCCACGCCGCTGCCGGCGAGAGTTGGAGGCGAGGGGGAGGAAAAGAGGCTTTTTACACGTTTAGCATCCTTTGGGGGAGAAGCGGGACGGTGCGTAACTAACTTTTGTTAAAACAGTCCCTCTAATCGTGGTGGCTAGATCTGCGCAGTGTTGGTATGACCAGCTTCTTTTTTGGTAACCCCTTGTTGGAAGGATGGAGGATTGCTTATTGTTTCAAAGTCTTTCTTTTTGAGCAAATCTGTCAATAACATGTCTATGCACAAATCCTCTTCTGACAAGTCATGGTGTAAAAGTAACGTCACGAATTAAAACCTGATCTGTGCAGTCGCCTTAATAGTCCGTCTGTGACTACACTAATGTGTAGTTACCAACTCGCTGTATGAAATTCCTTTCAGCAGTTTTGAAGTCAGGATTTTTACAGGAAACTAATGCTGCAGAGTTCGAACAGATTTCTTTTTAAAGAGGCTGTTTTTAATTGATGCTTAAAATACTTGTGTTCTTTTGACAGTGTTTGTTGACGACAGAAGGGCCTTCGTTGTAAAGGCTGATAGCAAGATATGGCTCACTTTCCTTCTGGGTGAGTAGAAGCAGTACATTGGGGGGAAAACATTATTCTTTTAACCTCTTTTTCCTCTGGAACTGTAAACTGTATCAGAATATATTTGGAAATATAACTTGGAAAGCCAGAAAAAGCATAGCGTATGTCGAAAAGGGTCAGGAAGTAACTTCCTACCTGGTAACCTTTGTAAAGCTGTTATTGTATCAGTTCATGTGGTATCAGAACAACTGTGAGCAAGTAATTGTCCAGATATTTATGGATCTCTCCTATCCCATCATTAATTTCTAGGGGAAAAAAAAAAAGGCAATTAATTAAGTAATGATATCAAAACAGCTTGTTTTGGAAGGATTATGGGTGAAAGAACATGCAACTGCAGGAGGATTTAAATTCAGATGTTACGATCTTTGGCAGTATTTTGGACTAAATAATGAATTGTGTAATGTCCAAAGTCTTGGAAAAAGCACCTACAGTATTCGCACAACTAAATAAGAAATGCATTCGTAAAGTTAACAAATGTTAAATAATAGCATATTTGTCAGACTTGCCTTTAGATACACTCTTAAAGGTATTGTATTAAAAGCCTGTCAGGGTGTTCCAAAGATGCTGGTACACCGCCACCTGTATTCCTTGTTGCCAAAGGGAGTTTCTTCAGTTTGATGAATTACATGGCAAAATAGTAGCAGGGAAACAACCCTTAGCTTACAGACTAACCGATGAATAAACTGTTCCTGAATTGCTTTGCTTGCCTTTGTTTATTCAGCCTTTTCTAGACTAGTAGTTACTTAAATGACATAGAAATGTTAAAATGATGGTGAAAATTGAAAAAAAATGCTTTCCTTTGATTGAAATTTGAGAACAGATTAGGTAGAGAGCTTTATAATTCCTGGAGTTTGAATTGGGCTGTGAAACCCAGATAGCCAAGTAAATACGTCAAGGACCCACTTACATTTTTAATAGGAGTAAACCCTTAACAGCAAAGTATGTAATAGCATTCAGAATGCACATGCAAATAGTGGGTTTCGGTTAGTTTTAGTTGCTTAAGCTCTAAGGTTCAGATTTTAAAGATAGAGGCTCCCACAGTTGGAGATAGTTTTGTTAAAGGGGGTGGATTCTTTTCTCTTAAGAATTCTCTCCAATTTACATGCTACAACAGAGTTGTCAGATGTTCAAGGACATTCTTATACAGCACTTTGCCCTATTATGGTATTTTTTTTTTAATGACCATTGAATTGGGGCCTTATTCTTGAAGACATTCTTTCTAGATTGCACAGAAGTTCACAATGAAACATCTTGACTAAGCTGCGCAAGTAGTCAATGCTTGCACATTACTCATTGCTCCCAGTTCTGCTGTATTCCTACCTAGTCACTTTGGGGATGCTTGCAAAGCATTAATTGGTGTCTAGTACGTTTCACATCCTGTTGCATTACAGTATCTCAGCGTTTGTTGTTCTCTCGGTAAAGGAGTTCTGTGTATTATGGCTTTATTCTTCCATATTTAATTTCCAGAATTAGAATGCTTTTTATATGCCACTTACATTGCTTTTCTTAGAACAGAACACGGGCAAAAATAGGAAATCTGAAGAATAAACTATCAGATTTTACATAATAGCCCTAGTCTGCAAAAATCTGATCATATGCTTTGCTTTTAGGGATTTTTAGGTTGGGTGAGAAAATGGCATCTGCAAGTTCAAATACATAGTAGCTTTACAAGTGTTTGTAGCATTAGGACTCTAGTATTGCTCTCCTGTCCTCTCCTTCATTTCCTCCCCAGAAAGGATATTAATGGGATCAAAGGATGGTAATTTAGGAGAGCTGATCTGCATGTTTTCCATCAGAAACAAGCTTAATGTAAGTCTGGATGCAGTCTGAAAAATGTCGATTTGGACTGGTAATGTAAGTCTATGAATTAAGTGCGTTGTCTCTTGAAATGTGAGTAATTACATGAATTGCTGTGTGGTTATAAAAGGTTTTACACTTAGAGTAATATTGGGAAATTTTATAAAAATGTACATTAAATTCTCCAAAATTACTGGGAATATATTTAGACTTTGCATCAACTTCAAAATGTATGCTGAAGGGAAGAATCAGATATATTGTTTCCTCTATGAAATAAGTGGCATGTTTGAATCTGAAATGTAATTTCCATATTAATAGATCATTTATTTGCAACAATAAAATACTACATTTGGCTTATTTGGAACCACATGAGTTTGAGATCATAAACAATACTAGTAGGTGTTGTGCATTTATTCTGACTTTATTGGATTACATGTTAGACAAGTATATACATCTTACAATTTATTTTTTTATACTTGGAGTGTGTGTAAATGTATTTCAGCATCTAGTCTTATTGGGAATCTTAGAATTGTTACTGGGAAATGAAGTAATGCCATGTACAAATGTGAGACTCACTAAATAATAACTGAGAAGGGTATGGACTGCTCTGTTTCTTTCCTACAGTTACTGCAAAATGTGTTTGTTTATGGAATATGGTTTGCTGTGTTGCTGATATAGCTGATGTGCTTACCTGGAATTCTGTATCATATCCATACCTGCTTTTCCGAAAAAGGAATTTGCAGCTCTCCATGAGAACTATCATAAATATCTGTAGTATTAAAAAAAAAAAAAAAGGGCAAACCCAAAACACCAAACCAAAAAAACCTTGTGGCTCCTGAAATTTTCCTAAGACATTAAATTTCACTGAGCAATCCTTCGGTTAACTTTTTAGATAGAAAGTATATATAAAAATGTAAAGTTTTAGATGGAAGCTTGTGGTATTTATTTTCTAAGTGAAATCCAGGCTTCTTTTTGAGAAAACTACTTCAGTTACTGAAGCAGAGCTGAAAAACTTTTAGGGAAGTTTCAGCATGGCATTGTACAACCTCAGCTACTGTGCAGAGTTATTGGTGGTGATGGCAGTAGTAACAAGTACTGCCAGCAGCAGCACTTCCAGGCTCTGTGTTGGAGGAACATGTGGTTTGGGAATACATACATGTGCACATTCAGTCCACTCCTCTTCCAGTGTAAATTTAGCGTTTTTGCAAAGGTGTTTCTTGTTCCTGTTGCTTTTCAGAAACTGACTACCATATGCAGGTAACATGCAGTCTGAACACATCCGCATTCCCTAACTCGCTGGCAATACTCTGCATCAGTGTGCAGACATTTGATGTGTGTTTTACCTGTGTGCAAGCGACCTGACCCATTCCATGTCGTGATAGAGGTGGGGGCTGTGCCCGGCGTCCTGTAAGCCGCAGAGGTGTGCGCAGATCAGCACCCTGGAGAGGGGCGCATTGCTCAGCACCTTTCTGGCTCCAGCTGGGTGTAAGCAGGGAGGGTGGTTGTCCGCTCCGCTTTCTCTCTGCTCCATATAGCCTGTGTGAACAAGAGGGCTCGGCATTAGCCATAAAGATTTTCTTGGATTGAAGGCAACCAGTCGACTGTACCTTTATGGCAGAGAGCCACTGTGTGCCTGGAGGGCAACCAAGAGGCCTTCAGTCTAGAAGGAGCAACGTTGTCATTGCTCTAAATGCCTACCCTTTGTCCCTCACTCATGCTGGCTTTGCTTCCATGGTGAGCTCTGGATATGTTGTGAATGCTGGCCGAGCAAAGTGGAGTGGCTTCTGCTGTCTGTGGATCTTGTCGTCCAAGAAGTCAGAGACCTAGATTGTTTACCTACCACTTTGTCATGCTTTGTCTTTTTCTTGTGTCCGTCTTATTACCTCCCTTGTACTTTATCTACATGACAACAGTGCAGGTAGTCTCTGGACAAATGGAATGTTAGTACAATGAGAGTCAAACTTTCTTAGCAATTATAGTCTCATTTAGATTTGTATTGGATGTCTATGTCTGTCTGGATCGCTCAAATTTACAGGACAATGTATTCTGTAAATTAAACTTTATTTTATGAGCCCACTAGGAAAGAAAACAAACAAGGGCTCAGTGCACTTTGTACAGACTAGTCTAAGATGGGAATTCACTAATTCATCACTTAAGGCATGAGGTTTCTAACTCACCTGTAATTCACAACTTCTAACTTGTAACTCCTAACTTATGTACCTGTGGGCAAAATAGTTGTCTAGCCGATGGCGGGGGTGGTCATCTTTCCTCTTCTGTCATGGTGCTGGTGGTTCTCTGTATCACATGGGGAAGCACGCAAAGCCTCAGCAGTCCAGCTGCTACTACTGGATCAGCTTTAAAAACTTTTTTTGGGAAAGCTGTTGTATTTATACGTTCCAGCTTGAAGTTTGGTCTGTACCATTTCCAGGAGTCGGCAGATTCTGAAGAAACTGCCAGACAATCAGTATGTGAGGATTATGGCTGTAGGAGACAGCAAGCTGCAGGTGATGATGGCTGCATAGTGACCTTTAGCCCTTTCTGGCCACTGAGTCCTGCCCTATGTGTTGCTCTTGGTTTGACCTCACAGTGGTGCTCCTGGTATACCTCGGGCTGCTCCAAGTACACCTTAGTATGAGCTGTGTGTTAGCCAAAGTCCTAGCAGGAGTTCAGCAAACAGTCACAGTAGGTATCTTAAAATGTTAAAAATATTTATGCTTATTAAAAAAAATGCTTCTAATTCAGTTTTGTTGTTGATAGCTGAAATGGGTGCATTAGATTCTGATGGATCAACTTTGGTGGTGTGGGATATGGGTGGAAACATTGCTCACTGCTGAATGCTGTCAGTATAATTTCAGATTTTTCAAAGAGCTGTCCATAAAAGTAAATTCAGATGTTCCTATTCTGTTCCTCTGGAGGCTGAGCACCTTCTGTGCACCTCTGAAGTAGTACTGCAATTACTTTGAAGGACATGATTTCATGTTCAGTGATTTAAATATTTGAGTAACTTGACACTTTTTTGTTTCCTTTACAGCTGCTTTTTCAGGAGTCTTACATTGGTAAGGTTAAATTTATTACTTGAGAGTAATATGATATTTTAAGATAATAAAAATACCATTTTGATTTATATTTAGACAAGCTACTGGGATAATTTATGTTTAGCTCTTTCCCCTCCAAACCAAAATTTGTCTCTAAGATGAATATTTCTGTTCTTGTGAAGCTGACATGAAAGGTTTTTTAAGCCTGTTCAGTGAAAAGTGAAGCCTGCTTTCCAGGTGGAAAATTGTCACTTAGCTGTACAAACTCAGGTACATTTCCACTAAGACACCTTTTTACCCTCAGTGGGTTTTGAAAGTCCAGGTAAATCCTTCCAATTTTGTCCTATGTTCTGCTTATTTAGATTCTGCTTAAATTTCTTAGTTTTACACCACTTTTTGTCTAACCTCTTCAGGGAAGTCTGGCCAGTGTTTTCTTTGTGTACAGAATAATGACCTTTCAACTACTCTTTGTCAATATAATCCTTGTGTTTCGGGTTCCATCCTAATCCTTACCCTTCCTTTTTGTAGTATAGACTTGAAATAGAATGGCTTCTGTAGTGATTTTAGCCAACTGCTTTTGCAGAGATAAGAAGTAAGAGTTTCTGCCACTCTGTTTTTGTTTCCGAGCTAGAAAAGAACTATGGATTTTCAGTAGTTTTTCTTGCAAATTCCTATTAAAAAACGGTCATGTGCACTGCTCTATGGTTGATGGTTTCCCCCTCCCCATCCTTTCTGGAGATGAAGCTACTCTTGGAAATTTAAGTTTTGCCTCAAAAGGTTTTTGCATTTTTCCTGTCCTCCCCCTGCCCCGTAGTCATCTTTATTTAAATATACCTTTATGGTAAGTGTATCTATGTATCATGGCAGATAACTGCATTAAAATACAAAGCAGGCAAGATTTTAATTGAAAAAACGTACACTACTCGTATATGCACTGTTATTTTCACGAGTTTTTGATCTGTGATTCTTTTCATTTGTCAGATAGCTGAATTTTGTCTCCTAATATGTAGTCAATAGTTTTACTATCATTAAACTTTCGATCCTTAAGTGTCTGCGCTTGTTAAAATGCATTAGAGTATTATAACTAATGCTGTAATGCAATCTAATAAATGCTCAATGTATTCACATTTTTTCTATTTAAAATAGTTGGCATAGAGGAGAATGTTAGTATATGAGTAAATTAAAATAGCAGTTTGTAAGTAAACTTTGGGTCTTTACTGAATGTTTTGACAGCTGTTCCTTGGTATATATGAGTCACTACAGGTTCTAAAATTGTACTCTGTTTTAATTATTGTTGTTTTTAACAGGTGTCACATAACAACTCTTTTTGAAAATGACCGTCATTTTTCTCACCTCTCAGCGCTGGAAAGAGAAATGGCTTTTCGCACAGAAATGGTTAGATTATATTTCAGTCAATATTCAGTGATTAGAAGACTTCTGTGATCTTGTGACGTTGGCTTTCCAGTTTCTTAATACTTTCTGGATAAGTAAATATATTGATATGTTGCAAGTAACATGCATTACAGTTTTATACGCAGAGCATTTTTTGTCTTGCTGCTGATTGCTATGAATGTCTCTCTTCACTGTGCAATTAAAATGTAATTTAAAAATGTGATTCTAGAGGACCTAAAATGCAAAACAACAAGGTCCTTGTAGCATACATTCAATTTTAGTCTTGTTATGCAGCTTTTTTAAAAAATAATTTGGTTTTAAATTAATAAACATTTGTATACATATACACCTTTTAGCTGCTTTTATTATGAGTTGTGAAATACTGTGCTAGTGCATAGTTACCAGCACAAAGAGATTTGCAGATGTACTGTGGAACAAGGTGGAAAGGAACCCACATTGCTTGTTTCAGTGGCACAGAGATTTGAAAAACTGGATGGTCATCTTGAATCGTTTTGTCCTATTTGTTGTATTACATGAATTGATTTAAAAATAAAGCGTGTACATGGCAGTTCATGAAGCAGAAGTGACCTCTTTAATTGTAAATAATGATTCTGCTCTTACTGTAGGGTCTTTATTATTCCTACTTCAAGATCATTATTGAGGCACCGTCGTTTTGGAATGGAGTATGGGCAATTATGAATGACAAACTGACTGAATATCCGTTAGTGATTAACACCTTACAGAGGTTCAATCTTTACCCAGAGGTGAGCTATGTTTTAAAAAATAACACCTTCTGATAAATCTTTGGTTTCTTTAGATTTGACTACACATTTGTAAGAAATGTTACTTAAATGCATTTTTTCAGTTCAGATTTAAAATGACAAAATGACTTCATATCATACATTGTGATCAATTCTCCGCCTTCACCTATGTCCCATCAAATGTGAATGCTCTCTAGATCTTGCCCTGAAATTGCAATCCAGTTCTATACTACTTGTCTTCTTTTGTTCTTTTCACTGAAAGCAAGTTGCTGACATTGTGTACTTCAGGAAATATGACATATGAAGTACCAGTAGTAGGTGACAATACTGTCTGCAGTGATACTGGTACTGAGAGGTTATTTTGGATTGCATTTTGTGTAGGACAATGCCCTAATGAAGCATCAGAGTTCACTGAGGCCCTAAAATCCGTGGATGGTAATAGTTTCCTTACATGTTGCAGAAGAAATTCCCCTCTAGAAGATTGCTGTTTTGTACATACTTGATGTTAGACAGGTTACCTGGTTGGATTATGTTCCGGTTCTTATTTTTTTCACTAAAACCCCCATGTCTTTATGTACAGAAATGATGGGGTTTCTGTCTCTTAAGGTTTTTGCCACAGACATTTTGTAAATGGAGAACTCCTTTGGTTAACGTACGTTCCTGTGACTCGATGTGTCAGCAACAGCTTGTTTTTTTGGAGAACCAAGGGCTAATAATGACTGTAATGGTCGGGTACTATCTTTTATACTCATTCTCCTGCTCTTTTGGAGCAAAGCTGCTTTCAGGAACTGTATGTGTAAGAGTTCTTGGAATGCATGTGTTTATACAACCTGCATGTAGTGTTTTCTTTTGCTTCTTTATTTCTTGCTCTGGAAAAACTAAATGTTATGGATGAGTGCTTTTTGTCACCCTTTCGCTGGTTTGGGGTTTTTTGGGCGTATTTTGGTGGTTTTGTTTTGGTTTTAACTCCAAAGAGATTGCATTTCAGTTTTTGAAATGCAACATTAGGAGCATGTGCTTTATTTGAATACTATAACATTGTTTTCTTTAGCTGAGAAAGATTTATTGACTTCAGCGATAGTCCGACTTGCAAAAATCAAAGGTGACTGGTCAAATGAACTTACTCTTAGAGTATGTACTTAGTCACCATGTACTTTCATGGTGATACTGATAACTGGATGATGGAATCAAAGCAAGAGCAGTCACATACAGTGGTTGACGTTCTCTAAGAATGCTAGGTAGATTACTGTGCAAAGTGTGGAGGCTTGTCTGTTCATTCAGTTTTCTAGGATCTTCCTGGTTCATAGAACTTGTAGATAAGGTATGAATTCATTCATCTTTTCTGTGCATGTGTGGGTATGCAAAGCAGACAAATGGTCTCCTCTGCTCCTTTCAGTCATTTCCTGCTTGATGTCTAGCCTTCCTGTAAATAGTGGTGGGTTTTTTTTAAGTGTAGTGCTTGAATACTCTTGTTTAACTACATCTGTAAAATTGGCAATAGGTGCAACTTGACATTTGAAGTATGTTCTTCAAATTTACCTCATTTTACTTATGATTACAATGGGGCTGAGCGGTGGGAAGATGCTTGTGAATTTGTTGGCAGTGAAATTTTTCCTTCTGATACTTGTATCCAGTCACATTTTCTGAAAGTGTTTCATTTCCTGTTTGATATTGTAGGATCTTTAGAGCTCTTTCAGCCCAGTAGTAGCAGTAATGCTGAATTTTAATAAAATTTTTGTTTGTTTAGTGGATTTCAAAATTAATTGCCTCAAAAATAGCCTTGAAATCCAGTTAGTAAGCAGGATGTTAAACCCATTAAGAGAAGTATACTGTTTCTTTCATCTGCATGTGCAGCCAGTGCTAGCCATGAAAACTTCAAAAGAAGGGGAAAAAAGGTAAACTGAGTCCATAGTAATTGCTATATCATCTGTATAAATTATAAATATAAGCAGTAAAAAAAAATCTGTCAAAAGCAAAAAGTCAGTCTTTGTAGGTGTACAGTATTATAGTCCCAATAAAGTCTTGATTTTCCAGGTATTTGCTGCATAGTCAGGTTGTTCCAGTAGTTGTGGTGTTTTCGTCTGTGAGCCCTGATGCAAAATGCAGAGACATAATGTGTTAATTTCTGTGCTGGGGAGATAATACTCACTGGCAGTTCATCGTTACAGAACAGTTGAAGTTTGTGTGTGTGGCAGTGATGATGAAAATTTGAGGTGGTAGTGAGTAGCTGGCATTGAAGTGCTTACTCAAAGGCAGCTAATACAAGGGATTCACTTTTCTGCATGTTCTTTGACAGCAAAGGACTGACCCAGCCCACAGAGCTCTCCTGAGCCTGAGTGCAAGTCTTTTGTGTTCCAAGTTTTGCATTTGCAGCCCAGAAAGCCAACCGTATCCTGGGCTGTATCAGGAGAAGTGTGGCCAGCAGGTCGAGGGAGGGGATTCTCCCCCTCTGCTCTGCTCTGGTGAGACCCCACCTGGAGTGCTGCATCCAGCTGTGGAGCCCTCAATATCAGAAGGATATTGACCACTTGGAGCGAGTCCAGAGGAGGCCACAAAGATGATCAGAGGGCTGGAGCACCTCTCCTATGATGAAAGGCTGCAAGAATTGGGCTTGTTCAGCCTGGAGAAGAGAAGGCTTGGGGGAGAACTCATTGCAGCCTTCCAGTACCTGAAGGGGGCCTACAAGGGTGCTGGGAGAGGACTTTTTACAAGGACCTGTAGTGACAGGACAAGGGGGAACGGGTACAAATTGAAAGCGGGGAGGTTTAGATTAGATGTCAGGAAGAAATTCTTCCCAGAGAGGGGGGTGAGGCACTGGGACAGGTTGCCCAGAGAAGCTGTGGATGCCCCATCCCTGGATGTCTTCAAGGCCAGGCTGGATGAGGCTTGGAGCAACCTGGTCTAGTGGAAGGTGTCCCTGCCCATGGCAGGGGGGTTGGAACTAGATGGTCTTTAAGGTCCCTTCCAACCCAAACCATTCTGTGATTCTGTGATCTGATTGTGGACAGTAGAAATTCCAGAGATGCCATTGTGCTCTAATTGACCTAGCAGTTTTGTGCTACTGACTGACTTCAATTTTTATGCCCAGGTTAACTGTTTCATGTAAAGCAGCTTTTTGGCAAACAGTGTTTCTGTGTTTTGAATGAAGTACCTAACTTGATACCTTTTTAGGGAGTAGTCATGTGTGGTAACATCTGCAGCAGACACAAGCACTTGTGACTTAACCTTTTTAAGTTGATAAATAACATTTTTTGTTTTGTACAACATTGGTTCAGCAAGAATGTTTGATGTGCTTAGGGTAATGTCAGCTTCAGGGCTGGTGATGCAAACAAGTCAGACAGATGTCTCTAAGCTGCTACATGCATTCTTTTGGCAGTGTACAAGCCACATGCAGGTGATAAGATGGATTTGGTTCCCCAGGCCTGTTGTTGCCTATCTGGAGATGGGGCAAGTATCTGGTTCATGTGTGTGCACTTGCACAGTCAGGGGTGCCAAGGCACAGATGTTCAGAAAGCCTCTGGGAATTCAGGATAGTGTACTTGGCAGGACAGGATATTGAGGCAGGGATTTTTGGTACAGAAAGATGTAGTTGTATTTTAAATACTTAATATTTATATTGTGAGAGTGTAAAGGCCACAGATGAAATCAGCCATGATGATTGGAGCCCTGGTATTAAAAGTTAGTGAATTACAGAATTGCAGAACAGTTGAGGTTGGAAGGGATGTCTGAAGATCATCTAGTCTTAACACTGCTCAAAGCAGGGTGAAGTAGAGCATGTTGCTCAGGGCCATCTCCGGTTTAATTTTTAGTATCTCCACCTCTAGGCAACCTGTTCCAGTGTTTGACCACCCTCAAAGTAAAGTTTTTTTCCTGTGTATGAGTGGAATTAACTGTATTTCAATTTGTGCTTATCACCTCTTGTCTTGTCAACTAAAAGAGTCTGTTAGTGTGGTGGGTTGACCCTGGCTACTGCCCTCCCCAGCTGGGCCGGGGAGAGAAAACTCTAACAAAAGGCTCGTGGCTGGGGACAAGGACAGGGAGGGATTGTTCACCAGTTACTGACACGGGCAAACCAGACTCGGCTTGGGGAAAACTAAGTTAATTTATTCCCAATCAAATCACAAGTAGAAGAGAACTAAAGTTAAATCTTACAAACACCTTCTCCCCACCCCTCCCTTCTTACGCACTCAACCTCACTCCCCATTTCTCTACCCTCCTCCCCCCAAGCGGCACTGGGTGATGGGAAAGAGGGGTACTGGTCAGTTCATGTGTTTCTGCCGCTTCTTCCTCCTCAGGGGGAAGAGTCCTTATACTCTTCCTCTGCTCCAGTGTGGGGTCCCTCCAATGGGCGACAGTTCTCAATAAGCTACTCTGACATGAGTCCTCCTCATGGGAGACAGTTCTTCACAAACTGCTCCAGTGTGGGTCCCTTCTACAGGGTGCAGTCTGTCCTTCAGGAGTAGAGGGGTCACAAGTCTTGCCAGCAAACCTGCTCCAGCCTGGGCTTCTCCCTCCTCCCTCCCTCCTTCGGGGTCACAGCCTCCTTTGGGCACATCCACCTGCTCCAGCATGGGGTCCTCCCTGGGCTGCAAGCGGTCTCTGGTCACCTGTTACACTCCATGGCTGCAGGGGCACAGCCTGCCTTCTCATCATGGCCTTTACCACAGGCTGACGAGGAATCTCTGCTCTGGGGCCTGGAGCACCTCCTCTCTCTTCTTTTCCACTGCCCTTGGTGTCTGCAGCGTTGTTTCTCTCACATCTCTCTGCTGCAATTTCTCTTCTCATTTTTTTTCCCCTTCTCAAACATGCTACCACAGAGGCATTATGACTGTTGCTGATGGGCTAGGCCTTGGCCAGTGGCAGATCTGTCTTGGAGCTGGCTGGCATTGGCTCTGTTGGACACAGGGTGATTTCCAGCAGCTTCTCACAGAAGCCACTGCTGTAGCCCCCCCTGCTACCAAAACCTTGCCATGCAAACCCAGTATACAGAGTCATCTTTTTTGTCGTTCTTGTCTTAGGCAGCCCAGAACTGGACTCAGCACTGGACATAATGGTCTTAGCCCTGCTGAGCAGAGGGGAAGGACCACCTCTCTTGTCCTAGTGTCATACAGCCAAGGATATGTCTGGCTTTCTTTGCAACAAGTGCTTATAGCTGGCTCACGTACAACTTGTCCATCAGGGCTCACAGGTCTGTTTCTGTAAAGCTGCTTTCTAGCCACTCAACACCAGTCTGCACTGGTGCATGATGTTGTTCCTCCCTGATGCAGGACTTTGCGTTTCCCTTTTATGGAATTCCTGTTAGCCCATTTCCCTAGTCTGTTGAGGTCCCTCTGAATGGCAACAGAAGCATCAACCACTCCTTCCAATTTTCTATCACTTAAAAACTTGCTGAAGATCTTCTCTTATGCTGTCACTCTTAATGAAGACGTAGAACAGAATTACCACTGGATAAAAAAACCATCCACAACTGTCCCCTCGTTTACCAAGACAGTCATCTCAGAAAAAAAGTTCAGCAGATGTGTTTTCCTCTTTGTAAATCCATGCTGACTGCTTCCAATAACTTTTTTTTTTTTTTTTTTGTCCTCGTTTGGAAATAGAGATCAAAGTGTAATTCCATGTTTCCTTCATGCTCTTCTTGAAGATAGAAGTGACATAAAGAATTTTATTAATTTTATGGGGAGAGAAAACAGGGAATCATCCTTCTTGTACACTTTTTTTTGTGTGACACAGGGCTGAGACAGCAGTGCTGAAACATTTTCAGTCTGAGAACCCCTGTGTTACAACTTTTTGGAAATAGAGATCAAAGTGTAATTCCATGTTTCCTTCATGCTCTTCTTGAAGATAGAAGTGACATAAAGAATTTTATTAATTTTATGGGGAGAGAAAACAGGGAATCATCCTTCTTGTACACTTTTTTTTGTGTGACACAGGGCTGAGACAGCAGTGCTGAAACATTTTCAGTCTGAGAACCCCTGTGTTACAACTTTCAAAGCAGCTCAACTGGAGTGGCCACATTGCTAATTTATGAACTCTATAAAGTCAGTTATATCTGGACAGAATAGCTTGGTAATGTTAACTCCTGACTTGGCTGTGAGATAAGTCGTCATTTTTCTGTGTTTCTTTGTGACAGGTGTTGAGATTTAATTTGGTGGGTGTTATAAGAACATTATGACCTTTGGATGGAAAATGAAAATTCTGTCTTACATTGCACCTGGAAGCCCTTTGTAATGCATGCTTAAATTTAACCTGTCAAAGTTTGAGTAAAAACCCCTAAGACGTGGTCAATTAATAGTCTTGCCAGGTGGAAAAAAATATTTTTTTAATGTATTTAATTTAGCTAACTGTCCTCTGTCCACAAAATTTTGGATTTTAATATCTGATACACAAACATAGTTAAATGGGGAACTTTCCAGCCAATATTGAAATATACAATTTTTTCAAATATTGCAGTTTGATGTATGTAATTATTTCTGTTCTAAAGCAGGCATAATTTTAGCCTACTAATGAACACTTGGTCTATGTTGGATGCCTTTAGGAAATTGTGGTCAAAAATGCTAAGTAGTTGAGCTAAATTCTGAGTTTACAGAAGATCCTGGATGAGGGCCATTTGTCATGGGAGTTCACCTTGGTCATTGAGTTAATCTCGAAGTCCGTTTTGAGACACTTCAAATCCTGTTTTCCACCTAGGTGGTCCTTGCCAGCTGGTACCGCATATATACTGCCTTTATGGATTTCCTTGGTGTACCGACAAAGACATGTTGGACTGTAAACAGAGGCAAAGGGCTTAGTCCTGTTGAAAGCTGTGAGGGTGAGTTTTGTTATATTCTAGTTTCTTCCTGTAAGTATGTAATTGTGGCTTTACGTATTTCAGAAGTAATAAATACTCTGTGTCTTTATCACTGACATGCTTTCATTTGGCGAAGCCGGTGTTTTTGGCAGGTTCACAACGTGAGTGCAAAGCATGAAAAAAGGATACTTTTAAGAACACCAGGAGTTAGAATATGGGCTTTGCTTATTAGATAGCTCCTCCTACCTCATTTGGATTCTTATGCTGCAGTTCAAAACTTAGCAGTTGTAGTCTGAGCCTTCACAATGTTGGACTGCTATAAAGAATATGATGTCCTAAATGTAATTGGAGGCCACTGTACATGTATTAAATTTTTGTAGCTTCTGTAGAATCCCCAGTACATTCCAAGTTCCTAAAATTTAAAAACTTGCCCCTCTCTATTTCTTCCCCTAACTACAACTCAAGGAGTGGGGAGGAAGGGGAAGAAGGTTGATGGCAAGGATCCCTTTTGGAGAAATCTTGTGTAGTGATCCTGCTGGGGAGAATACTCTTCCTCTTGTGACCTGCTATTCAGCATAAGAATTTCCATCTTATACATTGATTTTGATACCAAAGCTTGGATGCCACCACCCCTCTTTCCCCCTCCTTCTCCTTCCCTTCCATTTTAGAGTATTGGCTTGTCAGGTAAGTGTTATGTGATAAGAGTACCTTGCCACGAAGCACTTTTGAGGTGTTCTACAGTCAGTTAGATGGTAGCTTGTGAAGTTGTTCCATTTTATCATTTAAAATATCCCAATGTGGTGACAAGTTAGTATTTTTCCTTTGCACAAAGGCTGTAAGAACTTTTGCAGCTTGAATGATTTACTTTCTCTAATTTTGTCAGAAGCAATAAACAGGGAATAGATGTATAACTTTTCATTCCCCTTTTTTGTAACAACAAAACCACCAACTATCAAGACTACCTTATTTGGTGAGCCTATCTTACTTTAGAGAACTGTCTTGCTGTGTATTCAGCAATGGTGAGTAGTCGTTTCTGCGAAGAAAACTGAAGGTTTGCTACCCTCCTTATAATGAACAAGGCTTTTTGTGCTGTACTGCTGAAACGATTAGAGCCAGGAGGGTTTAAAGAAATGATGGGAAAGAGAGTAACAACAGAAGTATGAACACAGAAGTCTTTGTGAATGAATAAATTGACTTGCATTATTGGAAAATCTCTTGGCTTCTAATGAAACAAAGACAGCAAAGAACATTGTGTGTGGTATGTTGAAAGGTGGATTTACTCCTGCAAGAGATGAGATATGAGAGTATAAGGAGTACAAACCTGTCCTAAAAAGCTCTGGGAAGTCAAAACGTAGTCTGTGAGGATGTTCTTAGTGATGCTCATGCCTTCTGTGCATTGCAGGCTTTTTCTTTACAGTTAATGCAGCTCTCTAGGCTTGTTCTGTTGACTACCCCAATGCTGTGTCCGCCCCTCTCTCTTTCCGAAGTGTAGTCTCCCGATTGAATCTCCACGGTCATGTTGGTGACACTAACTCTTTCCTGTTGCCTCTTTCTGTAGTTACGTTAAGGTACTATGCTGCGTGCTGTATTATACTGATTGTATGGTGGTTTATAAGCAATATGGTCTTTCTTCTCGATTTGACAACGTGTTAACTGTTTTGTTTGTTAGGGTTGGGAGACCCTGCTTCCTTTTACGTTGCTGTGATTTTTCTTTTGAATGGATTAATGATGTCACTGTTCTTCATATATGGTACATACCTCAGGTAAGGCAGTTGAAACTCAGCCATTTAGTTGGTACTAGCTGTTGTTTTTTAAATGAAATATGAAAAAGGGAATGCTAAAATATTTTTATGGGCTATTGCTTATTTGTTTGTACAGTGGTAGTGCTTTTTATTATACATACATTGTCACAAAAAAATTACTCGACCAGGGAAGCGTTTTGCATAAAATAAGTGATGATGCCAGAAAAGATTGTGGAAAATTTTGATGAAGCATTATCTCATTGAAACCACTAGGTTGTGGGTAAAACTAAATGCTGTACAGGTTTTAAAGAGCTTTTGGCAGGTTTCTGCTCTTAGAATTATCAGTGTAACTTATTTTTAAACAAAGTTTGAATGACAGTATACTTTCAACCAAGACTGGAGTTTTCCCAATGATTTTCTTCAAGTCATATTGCATGTCTTTAAAATTCAACTTAACTGAGATGGCAAAATATTTTTTAAGATAATGTATTCTTTGGGAGATAATGTGTGCACTTCCTTATTTCTATGAATTTCTGTTTTCAGTATCTGTCCTTACATTTCAGGAACTGTAGTACACTTTCATACAAAAATAGACTCCACATTCAGCAGAATAACAGAAACAGAATTTTTGTTTACATCTATTTTTGTTTGTCAGTTTTGCAAAAAAGTGAAAGGCTGCTACATTTTCCTCTGAGAGATGTGATTATTTTTCCCTGTCACTCCCTGACTTCACTGTCTTGTGGGTTTTTTTTTTTTCCCTGCTCGCTCTGAAACATGTGCTGATAGTTCAGATCAAGAATAATGCAGGGCAGGACCTGACAGTGAAAAGAGGAACTTGCTTAGTGCAACTGTTAGGTATTTGGGGTTAAAACATACGTGTTTATATTCCTTAACACAGGAAACTAATGCTTCATGTTTTGAGGGAGTAGATAAACTTTGAATATTCGTATCATTAACTTGTCATTTTTCTCCTAAGGGACGTGTATGGAAACCCACATTTTATGTATTAATGTCATTGAAAAATAAGTAAGGTGTTAATTTCTCGTTACTTTCCTTAGACTTGGGCTGTGTTGATTGTAAATATCTATCAAGTATTGATAGTAATTCAGTTTGTAAAACAATGATCTGCAGGGTAGGTAGTCAAGATGACTAGAATATAAATGCAGTTCTTTGAAGGTGTAAGCCACTAGCTATCTGGGGTTGTGAAAAATAGCAAGTGACTACGAAGTTTCCTGCAGGTAGGATTTTGATCTTACTTATTTATTCTGAAGAATATTCATAGTTGGATGCCAGACGTAGATGACTGCTTAGTCATTGTGGCTGTTCCAAGGTTCCTTTTAGTCGAAACAAGCCAGAATATTTAGGCTTTTCCATAAGGTGTAAAAAATAAAAAAATCTGAATCTAGACTAATACAGTTCTCCTACACTGAAGTAGGTCATCCTATGAATGCTTTGGAAACAAAGCAAACTAAAAATTTGGAAAAAAAACCCATCCAAACCCAGAAACAAAATTCAAGGTCTATGCTAAAGTTTAACATTGTCATAAAACCTTAAAGCCCGGAATGGAAAGGTCTTAGTTGTATTATGAATGCTTTAAAGCTATCAGCCTCTATAAGGCATCACTATTTTACCAGATGAGGAAAGATCAGTAAAGCTGTAGCACAGAATAAGGAAATGCACCTTGTCAGTATCCATAATCCATAATCCACAATCCATAATTGTTTGTTCCAGAGTGTTTTTGTCTCTCTATATGTTCATAAAACGTGTAATCTTTTTATTTCACCCTTTATTTGCTTTTAGACTCTTTGCAGCTTTGACTAGTGATGGAAGGTGATAGGATAGTGGAAGTCCACTTTCACATCATTGTTTTCCAAGCTGGCCTGTGTTCTCACATCTGTGCTCGCTGTACTTTATAATGAACTTGTTCAAAGAGTTAAGCTAGCAGAAAGGTAGTTGCTTTTGTAAGATTAGTTTGTGCTCTTTAGCTCCCTTAACCGATCCCCCCACAAGGTTAGAAGGTTGTCAGAGGCAGTATGTCCCTGCCCTACTACTCTGTGTACAGTCTCTGGTTATGCAAACGCACATGGGAATCTTCTTACATCATGCAAGTTAGTCTCCAGCCCCGGAGCATTATCTGTTGATAACTGAACTCATGCCATTTTTTAGGTGTTACTTCTATGGACAATGGCATATGGATGATAAGTACTTTATGCAATTTTAAGATTCAGTCTCCCCACAACCTTCCTCACTTCTCTGTTCTTGTAGTGAAGGGGTAGAATGCTTAGGATGATTATCAAATACTGCATCTTGAAGAACTGCCAATATATTTCCCATATCTCATTCTGACTGTACTTTTTCAGTATTTTATTTCTTGCATGTTAATCAACAGTGAATTACAGTGTTTCCCCAGGAGACTTTAAGGTTCAGCTTATTGTACCCAGGGGCTCAAAAGCCTAGTTCTTTGATTATTCCTGAGCTGAATCTACCAGACAAAGTGTAAATGTTTGGGTCATCTGTAGTTCTTTAAAAATTACTGATTAAATTTAGATTATTCTGTATTAAAAGTGGGGGAAGTAGGTTCCAACTGAAGGACATGTACTTAACCAATTGTCGTATGGTATGGGAGGTTCAGTGGAAAGAGTTATCCTTTATATTGGCATAGAAGGGCTTAACTACTGTATCTCCTACACTTGGCATTGCACTGTTTGAAGATAACCCGTCTGACACAAAGCTATGCGTAACCCTCTGTGAAATAGGGTCTGTTCACTTCCTTTTCTGGAAAAAAGATACTGACAAGGTGCATTTCCTTATTCTGTGCTACAGCTTTACTGATCTTTCCTCATCTGGTAAAATAGTGATGCCTTATAGAGGCTGATAGCTTTAAAGCATTCATAATACAACTAAGACCTTTCCATTCCGGGCTTTAAGGTTTTATGACAATGTTAAACTTTAGCATAGACCTTGAATTTTGTTTCTGGGTTTGGATGGGGTTTTTTTTCCAAATTTTTAGTTTGCTTTGTTTCCAAGACTAACTTTTTTTAAGTACATTCTTTTAGTCATTTTGTGTTTCAGTGTTGATGCTTTTGGAATTTGTGGAATGAAATGCTGAATTTTATGTGCAAGAATGCACAATTCCTGGAGATTGTTTTAGCACTTAGGAGGTATCTGTAATCCTCAGATTTTGTACCCAGAATTCCCTGATTCTATTTGACTTTTATATTAGTGATGGGTGAAGGCTCTGAGAGGATCTGAGGTTTGTTTGGTTTTTATAAGGAATCTTGATGGCTGGCTGATGCTTCTTTTTAGTAGAAAAAATGGTATATCCTCTCATTCACAATAGCAGTGCACTTGTGTGCACAAAAATGTTCTTTGCTTTATATCACAGGACAGGAGTAATTACATATCTAGTCAAACAAATAGGAATCTTCTCTATTGCTGTTTTGAGGTGGGATAAATCTGAGTGATATTTTTAGTTTTAGTGTTGACTCCATGGTGCTGATTATTCAGCGAGTGAATTTGATTGGTTTGGAAATGTATAAAAAACCTTAAGTCAAGGGCTTAAAAACTTTATTATGTTAATATCACAGTATTTCATGTAAGAATTAAATTGTATCTTGCATTGACCATCATGAATTCATGTTTTTTGAACGTGCCTGATTTGATTGCCCTAACATAGTCTTAGATTCAGACCAAAATTCTCTGTTGGGTGATTGAGCATGCAAATTCTAAAGTTTTCTCCTCAACATCTTAGGGAAGAAATACTCCAATTATATTGCCTGATGTTTAAAAAAAAAGTTTGGCACTTTTCAAGACTTTGGTCTCTGGGTACAGCAGATGAAGCTCCAGATGTAATGGTCTAAAACAAAGTTTGTGACGAGTGGAACGACCATTTTCCAAGCTATTTATGTTAAAATTTGTGTTCTGCAGAAAAGAGCTGATAGATGAAGAGTGGTCTGCTCTGAAATAAACGTTAGATGACTAACTTGTATTATAATATTGCATGTACACTGGAGGTTGCTTTCCCTTGATGCTTGAAAGCATCCTCCCCTGCCCTCAATAAACTCAGCTGTACGTAAGTGCTGTTTCACAATTTTTAGGCAGCACTGACCATTGTGAGATTCCGTTGTACCTATTTCTTTTGTTCTTTTCACAGTGGGAGCCGTCTAGGAGGCCTTGTTACTGTGATATGTTTCTTTTTCAACCATGGAGAGGTAGGTCCCCCCTCCCCAGTGCCTCCCCTTTTTTAAAGTTCAAGCTAATTCTCATTTCATTAAAGATAGTGTTGTTGCTTATCTACTAGGGAATGGATTTAAAGGGAATAGGACATTATTGAAAGCAAAATAGGCTATGACTTGGAAATGTATAGCACAGTCCAGTGTGTCACCTTAGATGTTAAAAAAGAAAATTCAGAAGGGGGAAGTACATTGTAAAGTGATGCTGAGATTGAAATCTTAGTAGCACAATGACTTCAAGTTTCAAAACAGCAAAATATTCTGGTTTTGTGCCTGTTCCAAGCATAACTGGAACATATCCAAATCAAAGATGCTTCTATTCCTAGTGAGCTCTGACAGTTTTCCTATTTAAAAAAATAAAAGTATGTGTGATGAAATAGCTATTTCATTTTTAAAGTTTCATTTGAAATGTTTTTCTGTAAATATCCTCTGTGAAAAATTTTCAGTTGTGGATGTTAACTGCCTGGTCGAGGCCAGTTAAACGTCACAGATTTTCGAATGTTTTTTGGTGCTGTAAGCGGGTAAATACCAAGTTTTGTGTGGGCTTCTATTATTCTTCTTAATGGCATTCTGAAGTGAAGAGAATGTTTTATCCTTTGCTGAGGAATAGGAGTAGAGTACGCACTGTATTGCCAAGTCTGTAAAGATGATAAGGTGTAACCTCAGAAAGGATCAAGTAGAAAACTTCAAAGATAGTGGTAGCAATAATAAAAAGAAGCATTAATTTCACTATGGCAAAGGCATTTCTCTAACCCATAGGAGACCCTATAGGAGGTCTCATGTGTCTTTATGGATGGCTTGACTTGGGAGCAGAACCCAGATAATGTGTGTATTTTTGAGAATGGCCTGAAACTACGTCTGCATAGCTCTACACAGACATGGTCAGGGCTTAGGTAGAGCTTTAGTGGGGTGACCCTGATTCAGGCTCAGCTGTATGGATTTCTGGAGAGTGATAGGACTTACTTGCTGAGGTGTAGTGTTAGATCTCAGCTGGATCTTTGCGTTTGTACTGTACCAAATGAAATAACTCAGAGTTGTTTGATGTTGTTATGGTAATATATGTAGTGTGTATGTAGTCTTGAAAAATAATTAAAAAGACTACGCTGCTTCAGAATAATGATGATTATATTTATTGCTAATAAAAATAATTTTACCTAATGACATCTGTGCAGTCAGCTGGAGATAACACATTAGTATATGTATTTATGAAAGGGTTATTTCAATAGTAATCAGGGTGCAGCTTTTACAGAGAGTGCTTTTAGACAGCAAAGACTGATTAATGTGATGGGCGTCTGTACTTTGCATTTATTTTACACTATTAATTTAACATATTTGTGAAGTGGCAAGACAATAAGCAAGGAATTGTATAATGTTGATTCTAGTGACTTCTTTGGTGAAACAGTATTTTAAAAAAAAAATCGTTTTAAAATTATAGGAAGCAAAGGAGAAGGAACATTCTGTCATCAACATCTTATAAGCTTTCGTAGATTCATTATGGCCCGTGTTAAGATGAACTACGTTTTTGTCCTGTAGTTGTAAAGAACCTATTTGTAATTTTTACTGCAAATCTATTGATAGCCATTTTGAACCCATTTGTTTTTTATGTCGGAGTTGTCCTGTAAAGTTGTAATCATTTCTTTGGTGGTCAGTGCCATCTGCAAGCAGTTTATAAAGAGCTGAATATAAACATTGGAGATGACAGTTACAGCTGAACCATTTGCTGTGAACCCCAAGAAATTAAAGAAAAAGCTATTCAGTTGACTTCACTGTATTATTAGGGTTAAAAAGCAAAGTATGTAAGTTAGTATAAGCTCTGTAAGAGCTTAATTGCATGTGTTCAATTTTACGGGCCTGTTTTGCAGGGCAGCTTCAGATTTTATGCTTCCTGTGACGTTGGAAGTAGAAATGTGAAATGTTTATAACCTAGGGATGTCAAGCATAATGAAGAGTATGTTGGTTTATCCTTCAGACCCTCTCCCCACATGCTTTCTCTAAGTGTGGCAAGACACTGCCTGAATTTGAGAATGGTTTTAGTTACCTGAATGAGTTGTTAATTTCAGCAGAAGCAGGGACAAGCAGCTGCTGTTCTGGCTTTTTTCTTGGATGTTCCCTAGCTGCCACATTTAATTTTGGAAAAGCAGTGATCTATTTTAATTAAATGGTGTATCATAGATCGCAAGTCTAGAAGCTGCTTCCTTTTTCCTCCTGTTTTTCTCCTTCCTGGCTTGGTTTTTTTTTTAAGTTGGTGAGTAAAATCTCATGTAGCTTGGTCTTTGCTTTATTGAAGCATCTGTGGTCATTTATTTTGAAAGAGAAACACATTGTTTTATGGAAACTAGCAGGAAATGTTATCATCTAACCCAGTTCTTATTTTTAGGGCACTCGTGTCATGTGGACTCCACCTCTTCGAGAAAGTTTCTCATACCCATTCCTTGTGCTTCAGATGTTGCTTTTGACCTATATTCTCAGGTACCTCTCAGTTTATACTTAGCACTTTAAGATTTAAGAACATTGAACGTCACGGGACTTGTATTTAAATGCATGTATTTAAGTGCCTCCAATTGCTGTAGCAACATATTAATGTAGAAACTTTCCTGTGGCTGTTGCGTTGCCGACGCTGCACCAGCAGAACTGCAGTCGTATTGCTCACTTACTAAAAGGAAAAACTTTTCAACTTGAAGACACGATTAAAATAAAAATTACTGTGTTGGCAAATACATATCTAAACTAAAAAATGAGAATTTTTTGGTTGATGTCCCTTCCTTCCCATGAGAAACAAGCCAATACTGCATCAGTTGGTTTTGTTCCTCTTGGAGAGTGGTATGTTGGTTGCACTTAGTATAAGCCTATGCTATGCATCAGAGGATACTATAGACACCCATAAGCTAGCATGTTCATTCAGGTTATTATGACTGATTAACTAGTCTAATTAACTAGTTCAATGATTTAGAGCAATATAATTACAATAATGCAGGGATGCTCTTGAGTTCGTTAGCCCTGCTTTTCAGTGATAGTTTCTGGCTTGCAACATGATTGTGTTACCGTCTTGCCTCTCTCATAAGAGGCAAGCATGATCTCTAAAACTTGAGGGCTTTTCCATCAGTGTATTTATGATGTGCAGAGTATTTATGACTTAGCTGAGCTTTGTACTTGTAACCCCAGATTTTCCTTTATTAGGTCATACTGGTTTGTGGTTATTGACGATTAAACCAAAAATATTTCGTGCTTGTCACTAACTTGTGTTTTTTAGGTGAGGAGAAGATATGTGCTGTCTAGAAAAATATTTTGACGAATAATTTGTAGAGTCATTGCTAGTTTTCATACTAGAAAGAGTAGAGAGGGAGAATCCCCTCCCTCAACCTGCTGGCCACACTTCTCCTGATACAGCCCAGGATACGGTTGGCTTTCTGGGCTGCCAGCGCACACGGCCGGCTCACGTCCAGCTTTTCACCCACCAGTACCCCCAAGTCCTTCTCCTCAGGGCTGCTCTCGATCCACTCTCCACCCAGCCTGTACTTGTGCCTGGGATTGCCCCGACCCAGGTGCAGGACCTTGCACTTGGCCTTGTTGAACTCCTTGAGGTTGGCAGTGGCCCACCTCTCCAGCCTGTCCAGGTCCCTCTGGATGGCATCCCTTCCTTCGACCACACCACACAGCTTGGTGTCATCATATTACTTCATACATTAGCTTTATGCTCAGCATGACTTCTGATAGAATTTAATCTTGAGTCTTTATAAAAGAAGCTGAAAAAAATTTTTTAGAATTTGGTGTGACTGCTGTAATCTGTTGGGTTTGGGTTTACAGCAGAATATTTATGGTGTCTTCATCTTTGGAAGCCACTTAATGAAGTCTGAAACATGACATGCTTCTGAATTTGAAGCTAGCAGGATAAATAACACAGCAATACATAGAGAATGGGCTGTTTTCAGTTAGAGATGAGTTTCATGTATTTGTCATTGTCTCCGGCCTTGAAATCTCACTTGGGATTCCTGGTAGAAAGTTGCAGAAAGAAAATATGGAAGAAATGTGACAGAGTGAAATCACTTCCAAATGTAGATGGTTCTGGGAATAGCTGTGATCCCAGGTGTAATGGAAATGGTTGTGACCTGACTGCAGAGTGGTTACATGAAGATGGACCGCTGCTGAAGTGACTGCCTGCTGTATTATATGCTGCCAGGAGGAGAGTTGTTTGGCAGAGTGACTCATGAAATAGTTAAGGGACTTTAAGCATCAGCACTATTGTTTTTGTAGACTGGTGGAAAATGGATATTAAATTTACTTGAGCAGTGTTATTTGTAGTTGAGCAATATTGCTAGCTAACTTCCAGGGTAACTTTGTTTTTATTGCATTCTCTGTTGTACTTTTTCAATACTGTGCAAACACCTGTGTAATTTTACTTACTGATGCTATTCTGTCTCTTTTTTCCCAAGGATTCCGAATATTAATACAGGAAGCTTGATTGCACTGTGTGTTTCTAATATCTTTTTCATGCTTTTCTGGCAGTTTGCTCAGTTTGTTCTTCTAACACAGGTAAGCCCATATTCATGTCTAAATATCCTCTTTGTCTTATCTAGGCAAATTGACTGCTTTGTATAGACAGCCATGGATTTCACAACTATATCAATCCTTTCTTTTTAGCCAGATTTCACTCCTGTTCCCAGGAAAGATTCACACACATCAATATATTTCTAGCTGACCATTTACAACGCTCAGTCTTCTGTTTCCTGGACTGTTTTTCTCTTGAAAACAGCCTCCAGCCCAACATCAGTACATTAGAACAAATTCAGAACACGAAAAAACTTTGTGTATTGAAGTACAACAATAAAAAATGGAATTGATCTTGCATATCTTTACACTATTCCAGATTTTTAAATGGGGCGATGTTTGCATGGCATGTAATATCTGGCATGATTCTGCATGATTTCATATTTAATTTTGATGAGCCTGTGAGTAGTGGCATAAGCTTACTGTCTTGAGAGTTTGAACAGTTGAGTATAGCTAGAGTTGAAATACAGTAAATGCTAATGTGAGCAGTACACATATTTGTAGTGTTTAGATTGATTGAAATGTAGCCTGTTGATTGAAATCCATCTATGTCTCAGTACCTTTTTACGTTTCTGTCCTATTTGAAGCAGAAGTTGCTTGATTTGAGTTGATAGTTTTCAAAAATCAATATATACTGTGGTATGCAAATTTTGTAAATGCAGCCATTTAATTCTGTAAAATATTTTGAGAAACTCATTGCTATAACCTGTTTAAGATGCTGGGTCTGAAATGCAAAATTACAGGTTCAATGCATAATTTCATTAATTTCCCATGTGACTTTTAGCAAGCTGCCTAATCAGTGAATCTCATTTCCCCAGCAGCAAATTAGGATATTCACATGTTTTACTGAAAAATTAAGGTTACATAATATTAATGTATGATTTTTTTTGTTTGGTTGGTTTGCTTTAAAAGTCTAAGGGTGAAACATGGTGTGTTAGTGCTGTGGTTGGATGACTTAGGTTTCTGTAAAGCTGAATGCTTATTTCTTAAGTATTCGAATGTGTTTGATAATTGTTATTCAGAGCACCACAATAGGTTTTTTTTGAAAGAAACAATTATGAAATGCTTAAGTATTTACGTAACAAAAAAGTAGCAACAAAGGTTAGTTTATGATTGTTTGGATAATAATTTTTTGTATGTGTGTGTTCTGCTAGAAAGAGTGCACCACTGCAAATTGTTTTAACTTCTCTTTCACTTTTGATTCTAGATAGCTTCATTATTTGCTGTGTGTATTATGGGTTATATTGACTCCTGCAAATTACAGAAGATACTCACTGCTCATATGGTAATACTTTTTTAAAAAAACCTTAAATCCTTTCAAACAGGTCAGAACATCAAAAGAGCCCATTTGTCTGAACTGTTTTCCTTAGATGCAAGATGGTTGAAAAGGTGGAATAATAGGGGGTGGAGGGGCCTGGATTTGAATATTTTCTCTTATGTGTATTTATATCACAGTGTCAGAAACTAGGATCCCTCTGGTGCACAGGAACTTTTGAACTCCAAAAGAATTACTAACCTAAAAGACTTGTAGAAATATTTGCCTCTCCTTTCTGTCTCTACTTACTCCATGGCCTTGAAGATACTGTCTCAACAGACCAGAAAACATGCCAAGTAATAGAGCATGAGCAATAAAAAGTCAAAAAGGCAGTATTCCTCTCATGCCATAGGTTGGTAGAAACAAAAATGTAAGATGCTAGTAAGTATAAAAAACTTAATAAGTCTTTATCGCTGCAGAACAACCCCGACTAAAACTGGGTTTTTAAGACTGCTGTAGTCTTGACCATGCAAAGGTGTTCTGTTGAAATACTTGGGGACATAGTTAGAAAGGAGGACAAAAAAAATACACTATTAGTTCGAAGAAAAGCTATTTTTTAAAAAAATGGTTGAAAAAGCCAACAGAGGAGGGAGGTGATAAATTTTAAGGCATGTAAGTTTCTGCATAATATATCTGATTTTAATTTTCAAAGTGAAGATAATGATTAAGTTTTCCTACCAGGAGTTTCAGTCTTTGAAATAAGATTACAGTTTTAAATATACAGTAAGATGTAAACAACTGTTTTGAAGATATACGGTTGTCCTTAAAAATATATTTTTGCTAAAATTGTGCTGTGCAAACTCAGTGGGCAGAAAGAGAATGTTTACCAAAGGAAAGAAACTTTGGACTACATTGTATTCCGTGTGTTACCAAACATTTTGAAATACTGTAAATAATAAATTAAAGGCAGTAGTAAATTCAATGCATCTTATTTCTCATATAAGCCTGGGACTTCAAATGCTTGTTCCCAGTTAAACTTACCAAGAAAAATTTGCAAACATGCATTTTGGTTTAGTAATTTTTTTGACAGAATCAAAAGCCTTTTGACTTATGCCAATAGCTAAATTGTAATTTTGGTGCCAGAGTGTCAGGGAGAGCCTGTTTACAGCTAGATAAACAATTGTGTTATAGAGAAGGCTTAATGAGCAGGGTGACCTGACAGTCTTTGTTTAGGGTGTTTTCAATTTTTGCTTCCCCCTACTTTTATGTGGAAATTGAAAATCTGACTATGGAGGCAGGGCGGGAGCACAGGAGTCTGCATATAACCACTATTTTTTCTTATTCCTGTGTATAAAAGAAGGCAGACATTGATCACTGATTTTACTCTCCAAATTAGAAAATGAAATTCGGCTTGTTTTCTATTAAAAAGAAACCACAGTAGATCAGGATGGTGGGTAAAGGTTATATTTCAGCCTCGACTTCCAACCTTGTGTAGTTAAACGCGTATGATTGAACAGTCAGAGTTCTGCTTCCTTGACTCTGGTGATGATTATATTTAAATATATCCTTCTCAGTTTGGAAGAAAGAAGACAACAGACATTTTATTCCACATGTTTGTTTGTCTGGGATTCTGAACGATAACAAACAGGATGGTGAAATAATACAATAACTTGAAAAAAACGAATATGCTAGGAAGAACTTCAAAAATATAGCTGTTAAGTCATGTAAGATGAGTTTGTTCTATGATCAAGTCTTTTTGTCTATAACTGTTTTTAAAATACAGATTAACACAATAATCTACGCTTGGGTTACTGTTGCCATTAAGTCTTTACAATCAGTGTTTTCAGAACAATTGTGTAAGATGAGAATCAAGCCTGCACTTGCTGTGAAGTAGATGTCTTTAAATTTAAAGCTGCTGATACAAGGTTGTTTCTATACTTGGGCAATTATTTCCTTTTTGATTTTTAATCTAATTATTTTTATTCTCTTCTTTCAGGTATCTCTTGTAGTGTGTTTTATTCTGATGTTTGGTAATTCAATGTTATTGACATCATATTATGCTGCATCTTTAGTAGTTATCTGGGTAAGTTGTTTAAGGAAAAAATCATGTGAGATGCTAAGCCTGTAATGCTGTACTGTTATGTATGTGTTGATGTAAAATGTGAAACAGACAGTTGAGAAATCTTTCATGTGACAAACAGAAATAGCCCTTAGATATTCGAGGAATGGGTAAATACTAGTTTAAAAATGCATGGTTTTACACTAAGGCCACTTCAGAAGAGAACCTCAGTTAAGGCTCTGTTCTGTTGCTTGTATACCTCTCTTTGTTTTATAAAAATATGATTTACCACATAGGTATTTCTGAGTAGAATAATTGTAAAACAAGAACATGAGTAAAAAGGAGTTTGTTTTCAATGCCTCTTTATTGACTGTGAAAACTGCAAATGCAGAACAGATGACTAAAACATCCATAACAATGGGTTTAGACTATTTGAAACTGCTGAGTCATACTGCCGCATTAGTGAAATTATTCACTGAAGACTCATCATCTCATCAGTCACTATCTTCGTATTTCCTCAAATAGGAAAAACAACCCCCAACCTCTTTCAGTTTCATACAGTTTCTGTTAAGGGTATTATGTACTTCAGAAATAGGAGGTAAGATTGTGGCAACAGATCTAGTTTAGCGTCGTACAAATCACCTCCATTTCTGAATCTTTTTGCCTATGCTAGAAGCTTGGGGTGAGCTCAGTGAATTCTTTTTTTTCCCCTTTTCTTTATATTTTCACCATCAACACCAGAGTGGTAATCTCTTATGCTAAGAATAAGATGCTTTGGCTACTGGTATTTGCTGTAGTATAGTTTGCTTGTTAGAAATCCACTCTTGTTTCCTGTGGCAGCTTTTTTAATCATATAGTAAGTACAGGTACATTGAATCTCTTGCCTGTTTTCCGCTTTGGGAAAAGTATTTATCGTTTGTCAGGGTGCTTTTAGTGGCCTCATTTGTAGTGTCACATGTGGACTGAGTTTATAAAAGCTTTTAAATTCATTCTCAGATTTTCTTAATTATTTTGTTCATCAGATTAGCTTAACGTGTGTCTTCCTTTATTCATAGAATGAGAAACATAATGTAATACAAAGAAATGCCAGTAACTCCTCCCACCCCTCCATATTCTGTTGCCTTGTTTGTATTATGCTGCCAGTAATTTAGTTATTGCTTCAAATGTGTCTTGTCATTCCTCAAAGCAGATGTAATTCAGTTTCCCATTGGCTTTGATTTAAAGAAGCTTAGAAATGTGTAATACAGAATCTTCCTTCTTAAGGAGGGGAGTGGTCTTTGTTTAATTGTATATTAACTGCAGTAAGAGTTTTTATGTTGGCATGTTTTGTCAGTGCAGGGTGATATCATAATATTATACATTCATTCATATTTCAGATTGTATTAATTATGGAGAGTTTTTTAATAAATAGCTGTGTGTTACAATAGGAGCTTACCAAAACGAAACAAAAAACCCCTTATCCAGGGTACTGGAATATCTGTGTTAGCTGAAAATGTTCATTCTTTTTATTACTAGGGAATTCTTGAATTGAGTCCAAAAGTCTTGAAAAGCAGCAGAAGAGAAGTATATCTATGGGTAAGGAATTTAATATGTTTTGAATTTCAGAAAAGAGCAGTTTGTTTGTTTGTTTGAATGAAATGCAGAAATAACTATTGATTTCATTTCTAATAGTTGAAAATCAAGAAATATAGCTGAACTACTCTCTTTAAGTAAATTGTTCATGTTCCCAGAAATTACTCATAAATGACCGATGGCAGAAAAGGGGCATAGACATACATTTATATCAGAAAATTGAAATAGCCTTCAAATGGCAGCACATTTTTAAATTACCAACTCAAACATGCTTCCAAAACCTAAGATCTGTATGAAAATCCCATTAAAAGACAGTTTAGAAAATGCAAGTAATAGAGTGCTTGCAGAAATCGAGATTAGGATACTGCATTACATACTCACTAAAATGTGTCCTATATAGTTTTGTTTAGGATTTATTTTTTTAATGACAGCAGCAACTTAGAATTGCATCATTAAGTAAAGGAAGCAAGTGGGAACAAAACACTGTAAGGTGTGTGGGTGGAGTTGGAGGGCAGTAGAAGTTATGTGCCAATATGGAGGACACCCCCAAAACTATGACAAATAAAACATAAAGCTGTAGAAAACAGGAGAAGCAACTCACTGCATAAGCCATAACATTAACTTGGGGACCCTACTGAGACTATGCCTGGCTTAAGACAGGCATTCTTATTAAATTAAGTGTAGCCTATTAGCAAAACTGGGTGGAATTCATACAGGTATTATAAGAGAATTAGAATATAAATGAATTAAAAATGCATGATTCTAACAAACTGCAGTGCATGTATAACCTACCAGTGTGGCTAGCTGTGGTACCAGGGGAGGTGGGAGTGCAGGCAAATCTCATGCTAGTTTTTAAAAAGGAGAGCCATGTCATTTGTGGAAGTGCAGACCAATAACCGTAAAAGAATAAAAATTGTTTTACAGCTTCTGTAAAAGGATAAAAATTTCAGAAGTTGTCAAGGCTGTACATACATGCAGTCTAATGATGGAGGTCCCACACAGCCTCTGTGAAAGGAAGTCATGCCTTGCAAATGTATTCGACTTCTTTTGAAGGATGTAGATAAAGGTGTGTGGGTGAATGTAATGCACTTGAATTTCAGAAACCTTTTTGGGGAAGATATCTAACTGGAACTAAAAAAGATAATAAGCTCCGTGGGATAAGGTGTGAATGTTAGAAGATAAGAAAGAAGGGGTGGGATTAAATGTTAAGTTTTCAAAAGAAAACCACCACAACCCTAAGTAGGTATATAAAATAATTGATCCTAAATAAGGCCATGCCACTTAGCTGAGCGATCTTCATGTTTTTATGAAAAGTTCTCTGAACATGTCAAATCATTACTGCACAGGCATCTAAAAGCAGTATGTATGATGGAAATCACGGAGAAGGAACTGCAGAGAAAGCAGAAAATATTATTTTGTTTTATAAACTCCTACGTTTCTCCGTATATTTGCAATACCTAAATATTACATACAGTCTCAGACAACGTGTCTTATTTAAAAAGAAAAAGGAGGAAAAAGAGAGAATGCCTTCCCCCAAAAAGTAGTATCATCAAATTTAAGTAGAGAGAGTATGAAGATAATTATTAATGTAGAATCACTAAATAGCTGAGATTATTTTAAAATAAGTTAGAATTTTACGTCTTGTAAAATAAAGGTAAATATGACAAAGACAGTGAATAGAAGTAGGATATAATTATAGTTTATTTAGTGCCCCTTACGCTAGCAGCAATAAGCTTGTAAGAGACAAGAAAGATGATGTGGAAGCAAAAAGAAGAGAGGCATTCAGAAAAGATTAGGCACCTCCTAGGTATTCAGGTTCATTTGCAGCCGTTAAATGGGATGATTGAATGCAACCTGTTGTCACATAAAATCCCTGGTTACATTAGGGTAGAGATCAGTTTGTATTTTGTTGTTATATTCTCGCTGAAAGCATCTGCTGGTCCCAGGTTCAAGACATGGAGCCAGGTTGGTCCTATTCAGTTGATCTGTTTTATAAAGAATTAGGTTAAGCTAGGTTGCCAAGAATTTAATCTTTCTGGTACAGAGATAAGCACGATATGTAACTAAAAGTAGTAATTGTACATACTTCTTTGATATATCCTTCAAATTCTAACTTGAGATTATGTTGAGAAGGTATTATAAGTCAGCAACTTCTTCCAAAGATTTGAATTACCAGAGTAGTACAACCTGCTAATATGGAGAGGCTATCGGAGGAAAATAATCACTACACACTGGTGTGCGCAAAACAGATGGAATTGACAGTTGGGCTGCCCCTGTTTAAAGTTAACTTTGGTACCTCCTCTGCTACAGTGTTATGCTGTACCACTGCACACAGTGTAAATCAGTTGCACAAAATTATTTCAGCTGTAATAGAAAACAAAAAACTTAAAACACCCCAGTGTACTGAAATTTGGGAAATGTAATTGGTTAGAAATTACTGTACTTAATGGTGATAACATTGGAGAGATTGTCACTAGTAGCTAAATTTGATAAGCCTTTAATAAAGAAAAGGTTTCTTTAAAAGTTTGAGACATTTATTTAATTTTGAATATATATATATTTTTTTTAAGGTCATTGAAGGATGTGCCTGGTTATTTGGGACAGTCACCCTGAAATACCTAACTTCTTTAGTGGTCGGAACAGCTGATGATGTAAGTTGTCTTACCTGAGTATTGAGTTGATGTCTTTCAAGAATTTTTTAATTCTTAATATTTTGATCTTGGCATCTTACTGATACACTGTCCTGAAATCCCAAGGAGAGGGATTGCGTATTTGCTTCCTCATTCATGATGTATTACCACTTTGAGGTTTTATTACAGAAGTTTGTGAAAAGACAACTGTTTTTACTAATGAGTTAGTAAATGCTCTGTATGTTTGCCTTTAAATGTGGATTTATAGAGGTTTCTTTATTTTGGATATCTTCAATCTGCATCTTTATTTACTCAATTTCTTAGTTCACTTTCCTCTGACGTTGATTTTTAAGACCATTTTGAAATGCTTGTTCTAACAAGGACTCTTCCTTCACTTCAGCCCCTTTATTATGAGTTTCTAGTGTTAAAAACCTATCTGCAGGGGTGCATCAGGGGGCAAAAGATAGGAAGCTTGTATCTTAAAATATGATTATGCAAAACTGTACTCTTGATGAACTCAGTTACGGTGGTAACACCCTTCTTCTGCTGCTTTCTGCTTCTAATTTAACACAATCCAGTCTGTGTTACACTCAAAGATGTCATTTAAAATACCAGAAATAGATTTTTGGTGCTTTTATAACAATAGTGTAAAAAAAAAAAAAAACCCAAACAAAGTCTTCTGTTCTAATTAAAAATATTTCTCATATACATTTAAACTACTTTGTTGTGAAAAACAAGACAATTTTTGCTTACTACGCCTCTTTTTTCCTGTATATCCTATCAGGCTCATATAGGAAATATATTAAAATCTAAATTCATTGGCTACAAGGATTTTCATACGTTGATGTATACCTGTGCTGCAGAGTTTGACTTCATGGAAAAAGAGGTAATTTGATCAAAATAGATCATTATGGAAGAGGGAACTTTTTTGTTTTATCTTAATTTATAACTTAAAACATATGAGAGCCATAACCTCCTACTGCTATCATAATTTCAAGTACTTACTTGTGAAGTTAGAGATATTAATGAACTTAAGCTAAATTTAACTGGTTTTATTGCTTTTAAATTAACTAAACCTAACAAAAACTGTTTTGATTTTTCGATCTAGGAAATGTGTTTTCTTGAATGAAAGAAGTGCTTGCCTAGGGTTAAATGACAAGTTACAGTTCTTCAAACTTCAGATTTTATGTGGCTGTCAGTAACTGGCTTTGAGTGTATGGAAAATGTGCTGAGAGCTGCAAAGGCCTTGTATGGTAGATCTAGACCACAGAGGAGCATTGAAGCTTCTTATTGTGGTGTTAGTAGCTGGGTTTTTTTTAGTTCGTCAGTATCTAGATAGACATTTAGAACTTTTATAAGTTACTCAACCCAAAGTACTCAAATTGAGATGAGATACAATCACTTCTAATCTTTGGGTGGCTTGCCAAACGACTGGGATAATTTACTAATGACCCTAGTGTGATTGCTGGGTGGAGTTTAAATTTGAGTTTCTTTAACCTTGCTTTGTTTTTGATGAATATTTAAATTTACATTTTAGCAAGGAAGAACTATTTATATTGTTTTCTTTAAAATGACTGTTGAAGTAAAGGAGGTGAACAGAAAGCAATTAATGAATTTTATTTCCATTGTAGACTCCAGTAAGATACACAAAGACTCTGCTATTACCAGTTGTTCTGGTGGTTTTTGGGGTAATCATCAAAAGGGTAAGTGATAGATTTAGTGAATCACCTTTACCTTGAATTTACTTTATAGTTTTTTTTGAAGGATGGCTATTTATTTTTGAGACTGGAAGAAATTAGTGTGGTGGGTTAACCAGGGCTGGCTGCCGGGTGCCCGCCAAGCTGTGCTGTCATTCCTTCTTTTCAGCAAGATGGGGAAAAATGAGTTGAAAAATCTCATGAGTCAAGATAAAGACACAAGATCACTCACCAGTTTGCTGTCATTAGCAATCCAGTCTTGAACTGGGGAAGATAAATTCACTTTATTGACAATTAAAAATAGAGTAGGAATGTAAGAACATCATCATGGTCTCTGCAAGCTGCAGAGGAATCTCTGCTCTGGTGCCTAGACCACCTCTTCCCCCTCCTTTACCAACCTTGGTGTCTCTAGGGTTGTTTCTCTCCCATTTTTCTCACTGCAGTCTCTTAAAGGAGCTGCACAGTGTTTTTTAGCTTTTATTAAGCATGTTATCAACAGAAGCACCACCAGCATCACTGATGCACTCAGCTTTTGCCAGTGCTAGATCTGTTTGGAGCTGGCTGGAACTGCCTCTGTCATGAGGGCAGCCCCTGGTCTCTTCTCACAAAAGCCATCCTTGCACCCCCCTGCTACGAAAAGCTTGCCACAGAGACCAAATACAGTTAGATAAAATACAGGTTTTCAAAATTACTTGCTTAAAATTTTGTATCCCCTTTACATAGAATTTTTGCAAAGGTCCAGTCCTGAGTTGGTGGTAAAACTTGCTTTGATGTTAAGGGCCAAAAAATTTCTGTCACGTAGCTGATGAGTACTATAACTGAAGTTTTAACTGTTTTTGTAAATTTGATTATGTGCAGTTTGTGTAAAAACAACTTACAGTTTACACAGGAACAGATGGGATAACTACTAACTGCCTGGCTAATTAAACATCTTCAAAAAGAATTTTTAGCTAAAACATTGAATGTCTTAGTCTTACCGTTATCTCAAAATGAGATTACCCAGGTGTAATTTAACTTAGCTAATGTAGAAAATGCTTTTGAATGCTTTTGAAGGTTTATTCGTACTTGTTGGCTCTTATTTTCTTTAGGCAATTAAATACATTAGGTGGGCCTTATTTCAGGCGGGCAAATGTGAAAGGTAAGTACTGTCATTATTTTAATGTAAAACTTAATTTTCTGCTGGGAGTCTGATTTGTTATATGCTAAATAATTCAGAATTCTACATGATATTCATTCATTTTGAAGAGGAAGTTATGTACAGTTCAGTAACTGAATGGCTTGGATGTACTATATGTGGTATTTTTATAGGTTGTCTAAAACTCAGTTTAGCTGCTGAACTTAGTTTTAGACATCTTAACCCTCTTATCCCCAATTTTCTACTTAATAATTTATTTTTCTGCTCACTTCCTAAACCAATGCTGATTTATGTGCCCATTCGCCTTTCTCCTGTAAATAGTAAATGCAAATACTTTCTCCCCCCCCCAACCCACTCCATTATTTTTTGTCTAGGTTATAAAGATACCTGAGTTTCCTCTTTAGGAAAGGATCCCAACTGTATTAATTTTATTTTCTAAGTATCTGTAATACAAGCTCTACGTGTCACAGCTATTTGTCATCCTTGTTGATGCTGTGCTCAAGAGCAGTCAATTTGGCCAATTGAATGTTGTCATTTCCCTAACATATCTTGTTATTTCCTGTTTTTTTGTTTTTTTGGTTTTTTTTTTAATCTATCACTAACCATTTCAGTGATCTCTGCTTTCTGTAGTCTAATGACCCATATCAACATTTCAACAAATGTCAGCAGGATTCACCATCCTGTCTTCACAGATGTTTTTGGAGAACAAGTAGTATACATGATTTGGACTCTTCCCACATTTGTATTTCCTTTTGAGAATCCAAAAGCAGTCTGTGTAGTAACCGAGTAAATGACTGACTCTTCTTTTGGTACAGGTGTTTTGCCTTTTTTTACATTACTGAGGTTTCATTTTCCAAATAAGCTGTTATATACATGAAATAATTCATGGAAGTAATTAAAAACTAGAATTAATTTTCAGATTTCCAAGTAGATAAAGGGATTGAGGAGGAAGATTTGCAGTGTATTTCAAAGCTTGTTGTAGATGGGGAGGGAAAAAAAAAATCTCTGCAGGTGCTGACTCATGCTTGCTAGATTTGTTCAGTTGTCTAGAGCCACTATAGATGACTTTTTACAAGGGCCTGTAGTGACAGGACAAGGGGTAACGGGTTTAAATTGAAAGCGGGGAGGTTTAGATTGGATATCAGGAAGAAGTTCTTCCCAGAGAGGGTGGGGAAGCACTATAACAGGTTGCCCAGAGAAGCTGTGGATGCCCCATCGCTGGAAGTGTTCAAGGCCAGGCTGGATGAGGCTTTGAGCAACCTGGTCTGGTGGAAGGTGTCCCTGCCCATGGCAGAGGGGATGGAACTGGGTGGTCTTTAAGGTCCCTTCCAACCCACACCATTCAAGGACTGTGTGAAAGTAAAACCAGTGCTTTTTTAATACATAAAGTAATAATGTGATTTTCTGGTTTATGGTGTTTTTTTCTTTTTTTTCTTTTTTTTTTTTTTATTCAGAGAGGACCGGTTTAACCATGGTGAGGTAAGATCCTTTTTCCACACAATTTTATTTAGATGTTAATACTCAGTATTGAAATACAGGTTGCCACGGTCTGATGTTGATACTTGGTTTATCTGAAGGTAAGTGTTTGGATCTTTTATTCCCTCATCTTAAATGGGCCCAGCATGTCACCAGAATAACTCTGGAAAATACACTAGCTAATGGTGGGGTGGCAGCTCAGGAGAGGAGTCTTTTTGCCTTTTGTTGTAACAGTACAGAGGGACACTGAAATTGTGGTGGACCTTCCATTTTCCCCATATAAACTGGGGAAGAGATTTGGTTCCTATACTGGGATTTCATGTGACGGATAATGTTAAAATTCTTTTTGGAAATCTGCCATAATGAAAATAACTCTACGTGTTGTTCTTTTATTAAAATTATGCCAAAAAAAAAGGCAATAGAATGGCAGCTTTATTATGTGGTTTCTTTATGTGCAATTAAGTCAGCAAGGACAGTTCAAAGCTTTCTTAACAGCAGTTTATTTGTGGTTAATGCTATGAGAGGAATCTCATGACATTCAAAACATGATAATCAATCAGTTAGATAAAAGCACTGATTGCGAAAACGTCTCTATGATTTACCACAGCACTTCCACAAATAACATAGATTCAGGGTTGGGGGTGTTGAGTGACATCTCTGATGCCTCTTATCCTTTTTTGGGAATACTAAACCAAGCTGCCTGTGGTTGTGTGAGTACCAAGGGTGATTTTATTTGCTTCTTTCATTTCACAGTTAAGAATTTTAGGTGTTATTAGCAAGATCACTTCTGTGAAGAGGTTATACAAGAAATTTTACATATGTTATCGCCTGTTTGTGTTTCAGGATGTTTTGCATAGCTAGCCTTTTCTCCAACTCCTTTTGGCTTTATTGTTAATGTTTATCCAATGTTGTCCAATACCTTAGCATACTACCTACACTTTATTAAAAGGGTAATAAAGTCCTCATCGCTATCTGACTTGGTGACATGGACTCTTTCTCAGACAAGCTTGTCACTTAAGCTATGCTGAAAATGAAACCGTATGTTTAGGACACAAATTAAAATTATGCTAAATTATGCTTTGTATGGTGATTTTTTGTTTATTTGTTTGCAGCTGGTGTACCATGCATTGCAGCTGTTGGCGTACAGTGTCCTAGCCATTTTAATCATGAGATTAAAACTGTTTTTGACGCCACATCTATGTGTTATGGCTTCCTTAGTGTGTTCAAAGCAGGTAAGGTCTTTTTTTCTTAGTCCTGTAGCTGTCTCAGTACATACAGCATTGTCCTGATATGTGTCTTAAAGCAAGTTCCTGAATCTGAGTGCACCACTTAAAAATAAACCAGATTATATCACCTGTCAAAAAATATTGTCACGAAAAAGTTCTATTCTCCCCTGTTCCCAAACAAAGCAAATGTCTTGTTTTATGCAAGTTGTCCAATTACATTATTATACGAGTTAATATGTTGCGTATTGAGCTTGAGCACAGGTAGACATACACTGGATTTTACTGTATTTACCCATTTCTATACCAGTGCAAGTTTTGTGTAGACTACTAATTTTATCCAAACAGTGTTTGACTTTGTTTACACTGTGTTTTCACAGCTCTTTAGTTCTTATTGCCTTGCATACTTTTGTGTATTAATTCCTTCCGGAAGTATAGCTTTGAAATCTTGCATGTTGAAAACATTTCAGCCTTAAAAATCGGAAGTCACGTGCCTAGCTCAGATTTAATTTTCCTAGCTTGAAGTTATCCATAACATAAAACGTTACTAGATTTTCTCCAGTTATACGAGATACTAGGAATGGCTTTCAGTGTTTCAGTATTTGTGCTTTTGAGAAGTGAACTTGACTGAATCTGTATCTAAATAGCTGTTTTAGAAGCTTTACAGTTGCAGCAAAAGTAGGGTAAGCAGTCCTTTGTCTGGGAAGCACACAGGGAGGTCGACTGTAAACTGCCTGAACGACTGGGCCTAGAGAAGGGTGATCTGTGGTATGAACTCTGACTGAAGGCCAGTAACTACCAGTGTACCCCAGGGGTCAGTACTGGGTCCAGTCCTGTTCAGTGTCTTTGTTAATGGTCTGGATGATGGGACAGTGTACCCGCAGCTAGTTTGCTGATGGTACAAACCTAGGAGAAGTGGCTGGTAGGTACACCAGATGGGTGTGCTGCCGTCCAGAAGGACCTCAGCAGGCTGGAAAAACAGGCCAACGGGGACCTCGTGCAGTTCAAAAAAAGTAAATGCCAAAGTTGTTCCTCCCCACTACACCTGGGGAGGAGCAAACCCCAGGCACCAGGACACGCTGGGGGCTGACCAGCTAGAAAGCTCCTTTGCAGAAAAGGACCAGAAGTTGAATGTGAGCCAGCAATGTACCTTTGCTGCAAAGGCAGCCAGTGGTATTCTGGGCAGTGTTAGGAGGAGTGTTGCCAGCAGGTCGAGGGAGTTGATCCTTCTCTGTTCACCATTGGTGAGGCCACAGCTGGGTGCTGGGTCCATTTCTGGGCTCCCCAGTACAAGAGACATACTGGAGACAGTTCAGGAAAGGGGCATGAGGGTGGTGGACTGGAGAGTATCTGTGGTTGGAGCCTGTCCTAAAGGTGAATTAGGGTTGTATGATGAAGGAAATTACTGGCTGTGGAACACCTGATGCCTGTGTCATACAGCTGGAAGGTGAGTGAATGAGACAGAATTATGCAGAAGAGAGAGTTGTCCCATAAAACTGGGTTGCTTCCCTGGATGTTCTTTCGGGGAAGGACAGTTCTTGATGGTGGACAGGCTACACAGTATTAGTCTGCTTAAGTGTTGTGCTTATCACTTTCTTGATGCCTGCTTTGTTACTTGGCTTAGGTAAAAGTGCTGAGTGTTTGCCAACATCAAACGGATCTATACAGTGAAAGTATCAAATGCTAAACACCTCTTTAAAATTAACGTTACTTAGCCACCTTGTCACTGAGTATTGGGACTTCAGAGAAATTTACTTTTCCTCTATTCTCTTGCTATTCTTTAAGGGTCACAGGTGTTCTGTTTCCTAACTTTTCCTAATGCTTCTTGAAGTATTGGTGTCCTCTTTGGTGGTATTTTTATTTAAGTAATACCTCTTACACTGGGGTTAAATTTAGCTGAATGGACTGTCACAAGGTGTTTCTGAGTAATTTGAAATCAAAAGTCAAAAAAGCCAGTGACATTTTTGTCCTCTGCAGCATGCAGCATCATGGAGGCGTAGCTGGCTTGAAAGAAATAGGTCTTGAATGCTAGGGCAGGTAAGACTTGAGATTATTGCAGTTTGGACAGTTGTTCTGTGCAGGAACTGGTAAATGACCAGCTGCCCTGTATAATTATAAGGCCTGTGATTCTCATGGCCCTGCCTTGGGTCTTAGGAGAAGTACATACCTATCTTCAAGAGTACCCGACTATAGGTGAACAATGTAAGTAAAACCAAAATTAATTCCCTTGTGTTGTTATCAGTGAGGGGTTTTTTGCCTGTTTGGTGTGTTCCCTGGGCTTGTGTGTAAAGGACAAGATGGATTTTTCCTGGTCTGACTGATGTACGCTTTCCTTAGTAGGCAGTGGCTGGTAATCTTCCAGGTAATTCCTGACTGGCTTCAGCACGAGAGAGAAACACTGGCCCATAAGGCTGTTGAGCCGCTATTGATCAGACCACTTGTAAGACTTCTCTGACTTAAGCAAGCAAAAAGATAAGGAAGCTGCTCATTTTTTGTAGGGTCGGGAAAATATCAAGTGGTGTTTAATGAGCTTTTTCTGTCCTGCTGGCTGCTGAGCACAAGTAATATCTTGAGACTGAAAAATCCGACCATATGTGCAATATTGATTCATAAGAATTGCTGCAATGGAGTAAGATGAGAAAGGGAAAATGAGACTTGTGACCAAAGGTTTGATCAACGCACAGTACGTGCATCGATATGTGAAGTTTCAGATGTTTGCGTAAAGGATAAATTAAAAAGCAACAATTATTTTTTTTATAGAAGCAAAGGAAAATTAAACAGATTTACTGCATGCAGTGATCTCACTGTAACTGAGATCAGCACTATCCCTTCCTCTCTCAGACCATTAAAGTTTACCTGCAGTGGTATGTTAATATAACTAATTTATTTTGAGGCTATAGATAACTTCTTAACCAGCTGCCTTTCAAAATACATCCTTTTATTAGTGAACAGTCAGCCTCAGATGGACATTTGTAACACAAACCAAAACCAAACAAACAGGGAAAAGACATAATAGAATTATTCTGCGGGTGGCTGAGGAAATCTGTATGTTGTGTTCTTTCAGCCCATTGCATGACTCTGCGTACTTTGTATTACCTCAGAGTTGCCCCTTCTGGCACCTGATGGGCAATAAAAATAACTGTTTACATCCACAGAAAGTTAAGAGGAGAGTGGAAATTTTGAAAGCGAAGGAAGAATAGCTGGAGAAAGACTTAGTGTATTCCTTTGCTGAAAAGAAATACAAAGTCTTGAATTGATATAAAATCCGCAGAAGGAACAGCATCCCATAAAAGAAATGCTGCTTCCGCCTTGCATATATGTTCAACCATTCTAGGCTTTTTATGTAAACAAGATAGTGGTAAATTTAGATACTTTGAACATTAATGAAGTTTTATAAAAGCATGATAGGAATGTGATTTTTCTTTGGTTTGACAAGCCATGGAACTCCATAAAGAATTTCAAAGTTTTATCATGTTTGTGAAGTGAGATTTTTGTGACTGTTGGTAAAAAGGAGGTTTGCTCGTGTAGAGCAGCATACCAATGAATTTATTTCCCTTCATCTTTCCAGACATACACAGTAGTCAGGAATATTTGGTATATTTTTTTCCCTGGATAGCGTTGTTATTCTTGCTAGAGCGTTTAGCAAGTCTTTGAGCATGAAAGGAAAGTACACTGTATTTTTGGTGAGTTGGCTTGAGAGTTTTAATAATCTAAATTAGTTTATGGTTAATTTATAACAAAGGTAATATACACTACATAATTGGTGTGCTCAGGCTAGTGGGAGGGTTTACTGTGAAACTGTTGTATCATTTTATGCTTTAATTAAAAAATGGGTAAATGTACTCAATGAAAAATGAGATATATTCATTTAGTGCAGGTTTGATTTTTTTGAAATGTGAAACCTTACTTCTAATTAACAATAGCATGAAAAAAAAAGTAATTTATACTTTGTCTTATTTAAGGTTTAGGTCAGATATGGATGGGATAAAGGGTTCTTGGTCAAGCTAAACTTGGACATAGTAAATTTGGTACTTCTTAACTATCCTTTTCACATATTTATGAGTATTTGATTACAGCCTCCAGTGAACAGTCTTTGGGGAAAAAAATGTAAGGGCCATCTTTTTCAGTTCAAGAAAGGGGGAGAGTAAGATATAAAGGAACATTAACCTTATATCCCCAAAATCTGCTTTTCTGATGTGTTTGCAGTACAATCTCTCATCCATATACTACAGCTAGAAACTTGATGTAAATAGGAGATAAAATACTGTAAAAGTGCAGGTAGAGTTACTGAATCATCTTTACTTGCAGAATTGACATTTGAACCACAACTTCAAAAGCTGCATGAATGTCAATTTCCTCTTTTCTTCTAGAATGACAAATATAATGCCCTGCATCTGGTAAACATGAATACTTCTTACGAGTATCACCGACGTTCAGTGGAGAAGCACTAGCAGAGATGTTTCATACTGTAATATATGTTAGGTTCCTTCTAGAGAAGTAAAAATGAGTTGTGCTGCCTTCAACGTTCCAGAATTGTTGTCTAGAAATTAATTAATTCTTGCATTTCAGTTGTTCGGGTGGCTCTTCTGTAAAATCCAGCCCAAAACGTTGGTCTTTGCTATTTTAGCATTGATGGCAATTGAGGGATCAGCAAACCTTCAAACTCAGTGGAACATCATGGGAGAATTTAGCAATTTGCCACAGGAGGAACTTTTAGAGTGGATAAAAGTCAGTACCAGACAAGGTAAAGTATTTAATAATGTATGATTGTTCTCATTTACTGTGAGGTATAACTATAGAACTTGGTATGATTGGCTGCAGAGGTATTGCTGCTGTCTGTGGCTTTGCCTTGGGACTATCCTAAAGCCGTGATGTAGTCACATATACTTGTTCATATAGAAGCTATCTCCAATGAAAAAAAACACAGGAAGCTTGTTTGTTAGACTCCAGGCACTGGTGCAGTATTTCTACAACAGAAGTCCGATTAAAGCAGGTTTTTACTTCACTAACACTGGTCCTGCGTATGGGTTCGTGATCATTTTGCTCGAAAAGAACTCCAGGTGTACGTGTGTGTGTTATGGTTGCACCCGTACTTTGACTAAAATGGATAAAAGTGTGAGAAAACTAGCTGGAAATGAAGTAGTTAGCTTTTTAGCAGTGGCCTGAGATTTTGTTACTCATTTAACAGTGGTGTAAGAAGTGACAAATAAAAACGTGTTGTCATAATGAATATTGTATTCTACCCATTCAAGAAAAAGATGATGTATCAAATCTCCATTCTTAGATATTTAGTTACTTAATAACTTCTCTTGTGTTCAAGGTTTTAAAAAAAACAAAGTGATTTTGTGCATCTGATTGGTGGCATGTGAGGCCTCTCAAAAGGAGTACCCTACCCTGTGTTTTTCTGCAGGATTACTGTTTAGGTACTTGAAGATTGCTTCTACTGCTTGATTCTTCATTTCAAACAGACCTCTCATTCTGTATTTCAGATGCAGTTTTTGCAGGAGCAATGCCTACAATGGCAAGTGTTAAATTGTCTACACTTCGCCCTATTGTAAATCACCCTCACTATGAAGATGCAGGATTAAGGTAAATTTTGAAGTTGAGGGTGCATTTTTATTTGCCATTTATCCTCTTAATGTTGGTAATATAGAATAGGAATGACATCATGTTATCTTGTAAAATTTGTTAAAACCCCATAGAACTTGATTTGTTATTTTAGTCAGATTGAAAACACATGCAGTATTTCTTTGGGGTTGGTGTTCATCAGAAAGGATAACTAGGATAACTGTAGGATAACTAGGGCTTCAAGCTCATATACAAAAAAATCAGAATATAATTATGGAATTGGAATTAGTGTGTGCTATCAGATCTTTTTTTCATTCTAGTTACTCCTGACACTGTAGACAGGCTAGATTTTTTTCCTCAAGATAGCCAGTTTAGTTATTCCTATTAGTATTCTGTGATGGGTTATCTTTTTTTTCATGATAATTTGTCTAATTAATGAAATATTAAGACGAGTTGAAACTGAAATTTTGTAATGGAATTGCTGACTTCTGAATTTTGTTATTTTCAAAATCAAGATATTTTTCTAAATTGAAATTGATTTATCTGAAAAGGTCATGAATTTTTTTTTAATTTTAATGTTGTAGCATCATTTTTTTGTAATTTGGTTAAACTGGTTAAAAACAAAAAACCCAAAACACATCAAGGAAGCAACAGGATAGAGAGGCATAAAGGAGGAAAGGTGGGGATTCATTTTACATGCCTTGTATCCTTAGTTCTGTGTCTGGCATTAATTGGCTTAAACTTTTGGTCAGGCAGTTGGACTAGATGACCATTGTATGTCCTTCCCAACTGAAAGTCTAGTCTATCTACAGAAATAGAAGACAAGGCATGTTTGGGGAAAATAAGATAAAGATGATGCAGCATCAAAAAATGAACAGGAATTAACAATATCATGCTTTGCATAATCAAAGGAGGGCGTTACTGGGTAATGTAAACAGGATCATGGTTTGCAAATAATGGTTTTCTTGATTCAGCATAGGCAGACATCAGGTCTTGTACTCTGCCTTTAGAAAAGTCCAAACAAGGGCAATGGGTATGACATTTTCAGGGAGACTGGGCAGATGGCTTCTTCTGATGGCCTCTAGTCCAAGTAGGGTAATTTCTAGCCTTGAATATGATATGGTGAATGTGCTGCTTTGATACCTTCACATTTTCTGTTCACAATAACCAGGGATCTTGCTGGAAACTTGTCTCCTTCTACAGAAAAATCAAAGGGCTGTATATATTGTTCTTTGAATCATTATATTTGTGAAGAAATAATCACAATAAAGCAAATGGCACTATTAATTTAAACTTTCTTTAGTAAGACAACTAGGCGAAACCAAAAAACCTTCTTGAACAGTCTCAAGTTAAACTTAGATTGTCATGCTCTGTTGCTAGCTGACTTCTTTATTTCTCTTTCTGAAGGGCCAGAACTAAAGTAGTGTATTCCATGTACAGTCGAAAACCTGCAAATGAAGTAAAGAGTGAATTGATAAAACTAGGAGTGAATTACTACATTCTGGAAGAGTCATTGTGCGTAAGCAGAAAAAAGTAAGTTATCTGTCTCTTCTCACGAACGATCTGCTGCTCAAATATGTAGTCTGAGATTCGTATCAAGTAGTAGTTTTGAAATACTGATCTGTGCTTTCTTAAGTGTCCAAAATATTAACATCTGGAGACACTGGACAAAAATATAATTAACTTTACCTGTATTGGTGACCTTGTAGTCTTTGTGTGCACCTGAAAAGATCTGGTGTATGTATTTTTAAACTTGGCTGCAAAATATGGAGGAGATTCACAAAGGAAACAAGTCATTATTCTGTGATGGCAAGAACAGATGTGCATACACAGTGGAAGCCTCGTTTGAATAAATGGTGCAAAACAGAAGATAGTTTGAGCACCAAAATATTATGACCATTGCTGGTCACTGAAAATTTTGTCACATTTAAGCTGTGTGTAGGCAAAACCTACGTGCTTTTTTTTTTTTCCCCCTCTGTCTCTTTTTGGCCATTAGAATGCAATTAGTTTGGATTTTTTGTTATTTGCATTTAGAATAAAATGAAATTATTTTTTTCTATTTTTTTGCTATTGTCTTTGGTGAAATTAGGAAATTCTCAGTAATTCGAACTTTGAAAGATAACTGTACAGGGAATTGATGCTGGTGAAGTGCCTTAATAAGAAAGCAAGGAGATAATACTTTTATTTTAGAAAAGAGGTGTTTTATTTCCTGAGTTTTCTTTAGAAATGATAGGAGCATGAAAATCACCCTCTGTTTTAAAGAAAGTTGTAAGAGTCCCTGGTTTATTGTATATTTTGAGTCAGTTTATGTATTTCCTCCTCCAAATTATTTCTTGTTAATTATGTAACCACAAAAGCAGGTGAATTTTACACACTCTCTATACTATTTTTGAAATTACTGCTATATTGTAATCTGCTGAGAATTTCTAGTATAAAGACAAAGTTAAAAATAATATAGCAGGCACAATCAAGTATTCATACAGGGGTTATTAAAACTGAGTTCAGCAAGCTGTGTGGTTTTTTTTGGTGGCTTTTCTTCATTTGTCTTTTCATATTCATGTTTTCTAGACCTGGTTGCAGTATGCCTGAAATCTGGGATGTCGAAGATCCTGCTAATAGCGGTAAAATTCCATTATGTACCCTTATGAGCAAGGATTCTAGACCATATTTCATCACAGTGTTTGAAAACAGCAATTACAGAGTCTTGAAGATTCCAAAGGAATAACATTTCAATGCAAAGAACCGTCAGTCCTTCAACTTTTTGAACTAGCAACTATAAAATTCTAAATCAGAAATACCTTTTCTACTAGACTTAAAATGGAAAAATGTGTGTTTTATTTTTTACCATTTTAAGTGAATTCTGGTTATAGAAATGTCTTAAACCTAACAGTTTGGATTTCTATTTCAGGGTCAGTCCCTTGAGATTTGCTATGCAAATGATTATATGTTTGCACGTTTTATTTTAACACTGATCCAAAAAGAGTTAAAAGTAGCTATGGAAAGTAACTCCATTCTCAAAACCAATGATATTTTGAAATGAGATTGTCAGAATGTCTTGGCAAAGCAAGTTTGTTTAAAGCTTTGGTGCTAGCAGCTAGGAACAAAGGAATGGTGCTACAGCATCTGGCATCCCATTTCTCATGTCACTTGCATTATTCATCTCCCTTCTAAACAAGGTGATACTACAAATTCTCTTAAAAGTCACGTAGTTTCACTAGTCAAGTCAGAGAAATAATTTTTTTCTTTGAGAGGGTTAAGAACATTCATAATTTTGGATCACTTAACACATGCTTTTAAGTTTGCTTTTGAAATGGAAAAGTTTGTAGGGAGACTCGAAACTTCCTAATTTAGGTGCATGTTCTTGGAATCTTACTGATATTAAAAAAGAAGACTAATAAGGGTAATATTTGCTGTGAGCAATAGCTTCTCAGTGTCCAAGGATTTTTAACATTCAGCATAAGCTGGCATAATATACATGAATCATAGAAT